TAGGTTGTAATACTAATAAAGAATTTTATACCTCCCTCCAAAAAAATATAGAAGGGATAGCAAATTCTCAACAAGCATTGTCTTATGTATGCCATCTTTGGTCCTTAGTGTTAGCATACCCTACATACATACACACACACACACACACACACATACCACTAGATATGGATTTTCATAATTAATATCTAGCATTGGGCATGTTTCAAGGTCATGATGACCTGTGGAAACTAGGATTTTACATGTGTAAGGAGTCATGCTGAACTGAAAATATGCAGAGTCCTAGTAAAATAAAAACTAAATGGGTTTGCTGATCACTCCATTTGCACCACCACCCCAGCCATGCTCTTTGCATTTCCTCTTGAAATGAAGACAAAAGGAGTCCCATTGCAAAGCAATTAGAGACCATACTCTTCATCTCCTCTCATGACATGTTCCAATTACCCTTCCTGTCCAACCAGCCAGGGTTTGTCTCAAATTCAAATCAATGTTTTGTCACTCTGGAGTTAAAGCCATAAGCCATTCCAGACCCTTTTTAATAAATCCCTGGGAAAGTCTTTTAGACCTTTTGTCATACTGAACAGCAAGCCAAACACCTCTCAAGGGTATGAAATGGGGTCTAAATATCACCTAGTTCTAGCCATGTTGTTTCACTCATTTGATATAACTCTCAGACACTGCCTGAGCCACTCTCTATTTTCTGTGGACCTATCTTCAGGACAGCTAATTATTGCCCTCTTTAACTCCCGATTCCTCCCTATCCAACCTTCTACACTTTTCTTTCTGATACCCTTGTATGGTTCTTAAGGTTGCATTGCTTTTGTATGTTTACACACACCCTTGCACATTTCTAATACAAGCCTTCTATTCACTGAAACTGGGGTGGTTTCTGCAGTTAGTACTGGTATACATAGGTGAAAAGATCTCCCAAGTTAATCTCCTTTCACAGGCCTCCTTTTGAGCTATAATTTCCCCAAAATTTCAAGGAGATGCTGACAGCGGCTGGTGGACACCCTTAATGTTGGCCCTCCAACACCTTTTAGGGTAACATTAGCTTCACTGCTTCCATCTCTTATTGCAGAAGAGAAAACAGAGACTGAGCTTCATATTGTTAGAAAGATATGGCCTCACCTAGTGGAGACGAATGACTCAGATGTCAGTACAGTGGAGGATCCATTCTGGTTTTTAAACCAAACTTTAAAGGTGCTATGCAGTATACAGAACCTATTGTAGGAATGAAGTTGAGCACCTTGAATAGCTCTGTTAAATAAATTCCATTGCAGATTTACTCTTCCAACTTGCCCTGACCTCAATGTAGGCATTTTGCATTGCTGTTTTTAAGAACTTGCAAACACTTGCCAATTCATTAATAAATAGAATAGAAATAACTTATTCAAAATACACAATTAAAGTGCTATGATTGCACTAAAATTGCCATGATTCTATCCCATGGAATCTTGGAGTTTGCAGTTTAGGAAAGGTCCTGTAGAATTCTCAGCCAGGGAGCTCCTTTGGTGTCTCAAATCAAACTACAAATCCCAGGATTCTATAGGACGTGGCCAAAGCACAATGGAATCATAGTACTGTATCTGTGTAGTGTCCCCTTGAGGAACTCCTTGAAATATTTAAAATCTGACTGTAGGAGGTAGTGAAGCCAACAGATATAAACATCCATAACTAGCTGTGAGCAAACTGCTAGTGGCAAAAAAAAAAAAAAAACATTTTCTGCACAAAAGACAGTTTCTAAAGATTGCTCTGCTCTCCACACCATTCAGCAGAAAGTACATAATCTGGGGGGGGGGGGAGAGAGATGGAACAAGACGAGAGCCACTTCATTTTCTTATCATGATTAATGGATTTTTTTTCCAGACTACCAGCACAAGGGCTTTGAACAAGGATGAGGGACCCTTTCACCCTTCAGGCGTTTCATTCTAGAGCTCTCATCAGATCTTTCCACCTGTATGGTCAACATGATGGGATGGTGGAAGTGTCAGCTGAAACCAAAAACCCTTATTCTAGGTTCTAGATCAGGGATGGGCAACTATATGGGGACCAAGCATCAATTCCTTCCCCCAGACCTCTCTTGCAGGCTGTACCCCTACAACAAGCCCAAATACCTCTGTTTCCTTCTGCAGTTCATCTCAAAATGGCAATAGGAAGTAATATTGCATCATTTCTTCTCACCTTTTGAAGAGAGATTGCAGAGAAAAGCAAGAGGTGCCTGGGCCCCTGTCTGCACTGGCCAAATAAATTAGTCTTCCCTTTCAGCTTCTTGGCAGAAAGTCCAAACGATACACAGCACAAAGCCCAGGTCTGGCATGAACAGACTGGATGATACCCTTTCAGCACCAAACCCGGGGCACACCACTCTTGAAAGACATAAGAAAACATCACTGTTTGCTTGAGATCTTCCTGGATGATCCAAAGCCCTCAATTCTAACAACACCAGTCAGCTGTTTGAAATGTGTCCCAGTATGCCAGCTATCATGACAGTGGCAGGTCTCTCGGTCTGAGGTCAGAACAAGGTGCCCATCTATGTGATTGAGACTGGGTGCCATGTTCTGACCTCAGGAGCAAGTGACTTGCCACCACTGTGCTGGGTGGCACAGTGAGATGCATTTGTGAACAGCTGGCCAGCATTGGAATGAAAGGCCTGAAGTAACAGGAGGAGATCAGGACATTTCCATGGCCAGGATACTCCGGGATGCCCTTGGAGTATCCTGCCCCAAACCTGGTAGTAGTACAGAGTTCCAGGATGCTTTTGCGTGGTGGAGTGGAATATTTTTACATGTTTTTGCTCATGGAAAGGGGCTTTCTCCATGCTTTGTTGACAAAAATAGCCTGAAAATTGGGCTGAAATTGTTTTGAAAAAAATGAAGTGGTGGTCTCAGGAGCCAAAACAGTGGAGTTCAAAGTCTGCATGTCCTCCTCTGCTCTAAAGCCAGAAAAGGCCTACTCTGGGAAGTCTGGGTGCAACACTTCTGCCGCCACCACCTTAGAAGCCCTTCCCTTCACCATTACTGCTACCATTCTTCCTACATTGCTGCTACCATTCCCCCAAAAGCCATTTCATACAACACAGTTACAGCACTTTGATTCCACTTTGGCTGCCACAGCTGCACCCTGTGGAATTCTGGGATTTGTAGTTTAGAGAGGCACCAGAGGAGCTCTGTGGCAGAGAATGCTAAATACACCTCTATAAACTGAAATTCCAGGATTCCATAGAATGTTGCCATGGCAGTTATAGTGGAATCATAGCGCATTGTGTAAGGTGAAAGGACCCCAGGCAGGGACACTAAAATGACCAGGAGATAATGATTTGGCCTTTTTGCCTCAGGGAGGGAAAGGTGAAATCTAGCTCTAGTGTAAAAGTGTTGCATATGAGTGAATGAAATGAAGAAGTAGTTCTTGTTTGTCAATGGTTCCATTTGTTAAGCGAAAGAGAAAATGACAGGCTGCTTTGTACAACATTATTTTCTATGAAAATCTGAAAGGACCCTGACTATTACTGCAAGGAAGTTGGAGTGGCTTAACTGTGTCAAAAACAGTCAGCAACCCAGCTACTAATGCTGGCAACTGGCACCTGCTCTGGAATTGAAAACACCTTTTTACTGCCCCCCTTAGGAATCCATGTTCATGCTAAAGCCAGCCTTTGGCAGTAAAAGGATTTTATTTTGATGCTTATGATAATTAGTGGAAACATCCTGTCATTTTTGCCCTCATGGTTGCACAGCGGGGATGTAAGACCTTAAAACCAAATAGATACTAAGCTATCAAGAAAAAAGGCCTTTTCAACACATTTGCCAGCACCAGTTACAGCCGAAATGTAAGCTGGTTGCCTTGCCACTTAAGTTCAGCTAATGACCTCTTGAGCAATCAATGAGAATTCATGTTATAGCAGCACAAAAATAATCTTCAACAACTTGGGAGAGTCAAAGCTACCTGAGGGAGTGAGGCTTCCAGTACCCATTAAAATGAGTGACAGGAGGGTGTCAAGAAACCACAAATCCCTTAGTAGATTTCAGAATGTCAATTCCAACAGTAGTATTTATGCTTTTTGGGAAGTGGGGGAATGTTTTTTCATTACTTTTAAAACAATACTTCTCCCTTCAGCTGTCATTGTGAAAGGGTAAGCAAAGTTATTTCTATGGGCTAGCACTCTTTATATCATCACAGAGAAATGGACTGACTGCATAGTCTTCTGACCTCAGTCTGACTGTCAAGAATAATATGGAGCAGTCTCTTTCAAAAGGATGCCCTTCAGGAGAGTTTGATTACTATACACAATAGCAATGCTGAATAGGGTGTTGGGAGTTGGACCATCTTGTTGTGTGCCTTAAACTCATTTCCAGCTTATGGCAACCCTGTGAATTGCCCAAGGTCACCTAGTGGGTTTCCGTGGCCAAGCAGGAAACCAAACTCTGATCTCTAGAGTTGTAGTCCAATACTCAAACGACTACAACAAACTGGCATTCACTGCAGAACTACACATTCCCATTGATTGCTCTTATTCTCTTATTCAGCACAGCTTTGGAAATGTTACCAGGGCTACACTGCCACACAACAAATACAGTGACATCCAAAATCCACAAAAAACAGTGATACCTTTATTGGGCCAACCAAAAATGCACAAAATCTTTCAGTCAATCTCAAAGGTATTGCAAGATCCCTTTGCATAGTGGTTTTCCAGACAAAAATGGCTATTGTTAGTTTTTTGTGGGTTTTTCAGGCTGTGTGGCCATGTTCTAGAAGAGTTCTCTTCTAGAACATGGTCACACAGCCTGAAAAACCCACAAAAAACTATGGATGCAGGCTATGAAAGCCTACAACTTCACAATGGCTATTGTTATTGTTGTGTGCCTTCAAGTTATTTCCAACTTATAGTGACCTTAATGTAAACCTATCACGGGGTTTTCTTGGCAAATTTCTTCAGAAAGGGTTTGCCATTGACAACCTCTGGGACTCTGAGAGAGTGTGACTTGCCCAAATCCTATGGGTTTCCATGGCTCAGCAGGAAATTGAACTCTGGTCTCCAGAGTCGTAGTCTAATGCTCAACCACTATACCACACTGGCTCTCTAACACAGCTATGCCTTTGTAAAATAAATAATGAAAAGCTTTTGAAGCTCCATTGGCTTTTTCATTAGGCAAAAGTGTAAAAATCATTTATGAGAAGAAGAAAAATGATGATGTTCATAGGGATATATTTTGTCAAGATGTTGTTTTTTCTTGTTGGTCAGGAGGGATATCAATGTAGATAGAGATTACTCCCTTCTTTGACCATGTGGGCACTGGGAGACAAAGAATTGTAAAATGCAGGCAATAAAATTTCAACTCCATTAGCAACAGAAAAACTAATTTCCCTTGAGATCCAGGCTGTTTCTGTCCACTGAATTTCTCAAAAAGCTTCTGTACTGTTGCATCTAGAAAAATCTTTAGGAGCTATACAGGTAAAACCCACCAAATAAAGTCCTAATTTTTTTTTCTTTTACAAATTGTTGGAGATAGAAACATCAAAGAATTGAGTCCCAGTGCCTTGGCTTTCTTGTCTTTAGAATTTTATTACTAAAACTCTGGGAAGTATAGTCCAAGAACTAACATTGCCAAGCTCTAGAAAGAGATCACTGATCCTACTAGCTAGAGGATTCTTGGTGTTGCAGTCCACAAAATAACATTTTCAAGCTGTAAAGATGGGTCATACCACTTTGCCTCTTTAAGCCAACCAAATCTCTGTTGAGAACTTCCCATAATTTACCTACAGTAGAGCAAAATTATGGGCTTTTGTATGGAGAGTGAATATCTATCTCCCACAACTTAAAATTAATCACAACTCAGCACATGGTTCCTGTTTCCTTATCATTGGCTTGCACAATTTGTGACCAACCAAGTCAAGCAGGACTGGCCTGCCATAATGTGTTTATGAGCTGCCAGCTGCTTAAACCTTGCCTGCCTCCTGAGTTTGAAATTAACACCTGCAATGTTGAAAGGCGCTTGGCTAAAGGGCATCAGCCCCCCTAGGAGTTGCTCTTCAAGAAAAGTATTTTAAGATATTACATAAATGGTATCTGGCTCTGTTTTGATAAGATATATAACATGCTGGTTTGTTAGGAGCAAAAGCAAGCAAATGGGTGGGGGGACTATACATCTTTGCCATGTCTATCTTTAAAAATCCATTAATTATGGAGGAATGTTTTGCATAAAATTTCACATAAAATTGATTCAGATCTATTCCAGGGCACTTTAGCTATTAAGATAAATGGATGTAGCAACAAATAAAAAATAGAGATGGTGTGTCCAATTTGTGCCCCTCTACCAACAAAAGGCATTTGTCAGTGGGAGAGTGAAAAGATTATTCCTTCTCTCTCTTCACTCCTACAGTCCCACATGTCTTTTCCCAAAGCATGCCTAGAAAAAATATTTCAGATTTATAAAATGCAGGAATAAATCCTTATTTACTTGCAGGTTGATGTTCCCCATCTCAACAATCCTAAATGGCTATAATCAGCAGTGACTGGGTTGACCATTGACAGGAACATCCAGGCATTCTGAATGATTCATTCTGTGTATAGTTACCAGTAAAGTGTAGGAAAGAAAACACACTGGATATAGACAAGGGCTAGGCATATACATCAATATAAGTTAACCATATTTTCAAAATACATTTTCTTGAACCTGACATCTATAAAATACATATTAACGTGTAGCTAAGAGAGCTACTATGGTGTTGTGATTTGAGCTCTGTACTATGATGCAGGAGACTAGGATCCAAATCCCTGCTCAACCATGGAAACCCACTGGGTGACATTGAACAAGTCATACTGTCTCAGCCACAGAGGAAGGCAAAGGCAAAAAACCCTCTGTACAAATCTTGCCAAGAAAATCTCCCCTGATAGGGTCACTTTAGAGTTCCCATAAGTCGGAAACAACTTCAAGGCACACAGCAGCAGCAACAATTATACTCAAATCAGTGAATGGTAGATGGTGAATGTTTACCTTTCCAACTTTGTTATCAATGAGCTTTCACTGACTTACAGTTGACTTACAGTTGTCTAGCTTTGACACAATGGTTGGTGAAAGTGTTAAACAACCACCACAAATCCTGTATTGCATGAGTTGCAATTCTTTCATTTTTATTTTAGTTGTATCCTTTTGTTGGTTGGCTCTTGAAGCTGTGACAGCATAGTCATTAGCAGGGGTAGGCAACCTTTCCCCTTTAAGGGCTGAGGGACTTCA